TCCGATCTAACCGCGCCCCAGGCAGTCGGCTCGGTCCGACCCTCCCCTTGACGAGCCACGGCCCGGTGCCGCCTGAGTTTGTGCCGGGTGCAAAACTGGAGCAGTAACTAGCGCCGGAACTAGTAGTCAGCACGACCATCGTCAGATGGCAGGAGTAAATGGAATAAGCGGTTCCAGGTTTCAGAAGGAATGGGGCAGGAAAAAGCGCTGAAAACAATGTTTTGCTGATATAGCCATAAAAAGTTCACTGAATTAGGAGAGCAGCACATCAGTTTAAAGCCCTTCAGGTGGTGGTTTTAATAAGCACACAATCATTTCCCAATTCGCCTCCAACGGTGTCACAGGCAAAGAATACGCTGAAATACTAGTGTGTACAGAAGCAACTGCGGGTCCCTGTACCATACCCGCTGCTGTGGCCCCAGAGCACGGCTATAGGCGGCGGCCGGACCGCGGAGCGAGGGAGATGAATTATGCATGCTATGTTATACGGCCAGCGGAGACAACTTTCCGCCAAGTATTGACCCGAGGCTAGTTAACGATCACAGCACGTCTTAGCGTCAATTGACAGAGACTTTTAAAAAATGTTCATCACCGGGAAAATTAACCTCATTTAAAGATAATATGTCCTCATCATAATAATACTTCATTGTCCCCTTACTAAACACAACAATCAAGATGGCTGGTAAAAAAAAAAATGCAAAGCACCAATAACTACCGGATGAATCAACCCAAAACAACCCAACACGTTAGTGAGCGGTGAGCATGGTTTTTCGTGACCGGCACAGCGTCAAGATTATGTAACACACTGACATGTCATCCATCGTGAGCGGTTGTGGGCCGTAAACTTGCCGCTGACGTTTATCGTCAGGATTTGCAATTCCAATACATAACCGCTGAACATTGCGAGGAAATTGTATTTCTCGGGTAGTGGTAAAATGTGTGCAGTAGAATTAAATCAAATGCTAGCGTTTAGTGTGCCAGCAAGTAAACATGTTCTCAAATGATTCAGCAGTTCAATCTACCAAACATTGAACAAGACATGTTCAACAGTATTCGCTACTCAATAATATGGTATGGTTGTAGGCAGACACCAACGCAAATGGCCTAGCAGCAGCGAAAAGCGTGCGTCCGTCCGATTGTTGAGTTCCATTGACCAAATAATGGCCTCACATCGTGCTGATAATGCTTTGTCACGACGCAAATACCCCTGCTCGTTTGAATTGTTACGTAAGCAAAGTACCTAGTTACATTTGCAGGAATGGACTGCTGCCGGCTGCGCCATTTGCGACTGGAGTTCCTGATAACCATATCTCTTCGGAACATCGTTGGACTTTAACGAATGAAACAGCTCCACTGGCGACGATCTTTGCTACAAGGATTTCTTTAATCGGACGTTTCGATTCAACGATTAGCATTATCATCAGCTGCCTTCCATTGATTCATAAATGTTTTAAGAGCTGTCGGCTGTCCTCCCCATCCGTGTTCTTCCCCTGTCCCTTCCCCGGTCGAGACGTACGGTTCTCCAGTAAAAGTCTTGTTGGTTTTGCTTTTTCGGACATATCTGGTCCTATATAATGTTCAAATGCATAAGTATCAACCCGAATTATGCGTATGCACATTTACCACGAGACTGTGAAATTGCATCGTTGTATGCCAAATACTTTCCGAGATATTCACCAAAAACCTCATTTTCTGCCGTTTGGGGTATTCTGGCCGCAATCTTCCTGGGATCGCCTATGACATCAGTAGAGCCATCTAACGAGAGGAACGCGGAAACACAGAATCATGAATGAATCGAGCGCGTAGTAAACGGTGTATGAAAGGGAGACTCGGCAGAGGCTATCCGGGTGGCCGGCGCGCGGCGCGCGGCGCGCCCTCAGGCATCGGCCGACCCTTCGGACCGCGTGGGGTCAGAGGTCGCGCTCGGGAAGTCTCGGCTCTGGGTTTTAGCGCTGTGCAGTCAGGAAGGGAGGATAGGATGGCGCTAGCCCGACTGACTAGTAGGTATCTCGGCTGATTCGTGTGGGGTGGAAGGGGGCACAGAACGGGATGGTGGTTAGTGGTGGATGGTGGGATGGCGGTTAGGTTAGTGCGTACTGCGTAGAACGTAGCTGAACATGCATTGTTTTTTCATGGCAAACAACATTCAGCATAATGTGCGGGATTATGCCAGAACTCATACAAAAAGGAAATAATATTTCGGCCGAGGGAGTGGATGAGTGTCATGACAAAGCATGACGATGCTGCCCAAATCGGGATGCTTTTTGACTCCATTTTTACCCCTAACATGCCGCGCTTGATGCGAACTTAGAGGTCCCCGACTGACCTTAGACCTTAAAATCGCACCCGTCCGGTGCGCCACCTTTTCTTCAGGGGCGCTCTTCTTGGTTGTATCTGTTCTTACCAATAACTAAAGCAAATCGAATGCATAATAAAAAAGGCATACCTAGAACGCAGTTTTATTCACACCCGCTCGTGTGCATACTTGTTTTGACCTATACCTTCTCGCATCATAATATCACTTCAGTGCTTAACCCTCAACGGAATTTTGGGTTTTCTGCATATACCCCAGCCGAGGGGGGGGGGCGGCGATTACGACCCCTCTCCGTCTTTTTGCCCCTAATTGAGCTAGCGCCTTGCGGATAAAACTGAGCGCGTGCATCGTATGAAATGCAGCAACTGGTACCCGAGTTGAATGTCTCAGGTCAACCGATAAACTCTGAGGTCAGTAAAGTGCTCCAAGTCGCGGGATCGGTTTTTGGTAAACAACTTCACCACTTAAGTGGTTACAAAGCCAAGATAATGGCACCATCGAGTTTTGCATGCTCAAGCGCGTCGAAAAGTATACGCTTTGTTTTTGTTAAGGTCAATTAAAGGTGTTCACATCAGGTCATGGTCAGGGCAGAGCCACTCAGGCCACGAAGCTGGCCCAAGGAGGTCATATAGCTTCTTCGATTCGGTAGGTCCTCACAAGTCCACTGGTGGCTTCCCGACTCGCTAGCTCAATTTGATCGGGACTTTTTGGTGAAAACTCCTGTGACCTTAGTGACGTCATAAATTAAGTCGCCTAACTTTAAGAATGGAAAAGAGAATGCTGGGGCTTGCAAAGATTGTATAAAATCTCGAATTAATGCGCTTGAGACAGCTTTAGATGGCTCCCGGCGCCAAAATAACAGCTTTCATATTTCCCAATTGATTAATAATCGTGAGGTTGCGTGACCGAACTGACTTCAGGTGACTCTTAAGAAAAATACGAGATAGCTACATACAAGTTGTGAGGCCTTTGAGAGATAGTACTAGGTCATATAAGCTTCATTCCCCGTTGGAAAGTCCCCTGGCACTAAGGGTGCTGCGACGTCGCGACATTTTGGGACCTTACAGAGGTTCACTTTTGACGTCATTGGTCAACGGCCTGCACCTTAACCTTCGCACTTGTAGGAGGGTGTCAAACAGGCCTCCTACCCTCAGTTTTTCGCAAATAACTCGCGCAAAAAGCGGCTGATTGCGACGAAACTTTCAGTACACTCAAGGTAATCAATACTATGCCAACCCTTTAATTTATATGACCCTGACTCAAAAGAACTTTGACTTGTGACCTGTTTTCCGAGACCATGTTTGGCCGGAATCGTGTTTTGGCGTATGTCGAGAAGAGCGCGTTTTATTGTCTTTTTGTGGCTTTAAGCGATCAAACATGTGAAAGGATGTTGATCCCATGGATTCTAGTGGGTATCAAGGTCACGTGAAGGTCAGTCAGGTCACTGACCTTTGATGACCTTTGTTCACTCTTTCGAGTTCTGCATGTTTCTAGGGTAGATTATTTAAGAAGTAGTTTTGGTTCCCTCGTAACATGTGACCTGACCTGACCTGACCCGACCTGGCCTAAATGCACGAAAACCTCATCTGTGATAAAAACTAACTTGAAATTCGTGATCAGCACCCCGCAAAACCCCAGAACAGCTTCACTTTACGAAGCTCTAACAGGTCCAGATTCCCCGACTTTTGAGTTATATTGACCAGTCAACCAATGACCTAGGACCTTAAAATTGGATACTATCGGCCTCCTCTCGTCACGGGCAACACGCTCTTTTTCCGCGGAGCTCTAGCTCGATCAGGGGCTGAACGGCAAAGGGGTCCAACGGACCCTCCTCCCCCCCCCCTCCCCTTTACGATAGACGCTGGCAAAACACCAATATGGGCGAGGGTGAAAATACAGCTGCTGTCATAAAAATTCAGCTTGAATCAAAGGTCAGGTTTGCCAAATTTCAGCTTCCGCAGCTATCAACAAAAATAAACATGTGGAGGCGGCACCCGCCTCCCCGCCCCTCTCCCCTCGGCCACTACCAGTGAGGTTTTAAGCGGATCATACACGTTACAGCTTACAAGGCATCATATCAAGATGACACACCCCAGCAGGCATATGCACTGAACAAGAACTTATTACCCACGCTAGTCTAGTTATCGGCACCATAGCACATGGTCAAGACTGTCGTCAGCCACGGACGCGCACTCGACCAACCCTCTGAGCCCGTTGACTGCGGGTGACTTTGACATGTCAAGCCTGATCGGCCGCCGGCCGCTGTCGTGCGGTCGTTACACGCGGAGAGGAGGGAGGCACAAAGCTCTACGTTATAGCTGACCTCTGACCTTTCCCTGCGCCCTGGTCACTGACCCCGCTCCATGTCGCTGGGCGGTGGTATGGCAGTGGAAACCGGTTCTAGCCTCTACGCATGCCACCATCCTAACCCTCCCCTCCCCACGCTACTACGCGGCGTGGAGTACGCTCGTGCGTAACTGGGCGGAGCAAGGGGCCACGCGATACAGGGGCGGAACTGGTTGCCCTCCCGCTCGCCGAACGACCTACGACTAATACCCTGGAGAACCGTACGTGTAAGCCCCTCTAGCTGCAGACTTGTGCCCGTGTAAGCCCCCTCTCCCTGTGTGTGAGAATTCACTACCCGTGCACCCCCCCCCCCCTCCCCCCTCCAGGAGCGTGAACTCACTGTCAGCCAGCTGCTGGCGCCGCTCGTATCTGCTCAGCTGCTGTTTGCGCAGGTCGCGCGCGTTGGCATCCTCCTTCTCGCGGTTATAGGCCACCCCCTGGCTGGGCACAGCCAGCAGGTGGAGCCGCTCGACCAGCACAACCACCGGAGCAGTGTACAGGTTCTTCCAGGGGATCTTCAGCACCAGCTTACCTGTGGTGGATGGGCAGACAGGTCAGACACTTCCTGTCTCTTTCCCAGATTTATTAAACATAAATCTAATCAATCAAGTGAGATTAACAGGTGAATGCTGCTTGAACATGCAGGTTCAATCATCAGTTTGCAGGTACCTGCAAACTGATGATGCCCAACTTACCAAGGTAGCCAGATACAGTTTTGATAGGTAGGTCCAAATCCTGCAGAGCACTGTCCTTGAGCCTTAGATCTTTCAAGACTACATCACCTGAAAATAATGCATTAAATGTCACCAACTGTCTGTAAACATTCCACAACAAATGAGTGCACAAATGTGCATTCTAAACCATAGGTTGTTATCCAAAGTAGCATTATCTGAACAAGAAATTCACTCAAAATGCTTATCAAAGACATTTTCACAATCTCAAAAAAATGATGGCTCATAACTGAATGGTTAATGATACCAACATCCATAAAAATAATCATGCATATCAAAGGAAAAAATAAAATGCAGCTTACCTCCCCAGATTCCCAGCTTTAGCTGGGACCCATCCAAATTTTCAACATAGTCACCAAGGAATCGATTGAGGACATCTGCAACAACAGACTCGAACACCATGTTTGTGCTCTTCTTGTAAGCACATCTACCAGATCATGTTTTGCATCACCATGACCTGGTCTGAAACAGAAAATTGCAAAATGATAAATGTAGGTACCAAATACATTATACAATTACCATGGATTCTTGATGTTAAAGCAGATGGTATCACACAAGCACTGTAATGAGGATGTGTCAAAGAAGTCAAGGTTGCTGATGAAAGCTCCATAAGAACCTTGAAGTTGGTATGTAGGTTATGAGGGTTGGGAAAATCGCTATCACATTCACTGCTCTGACCAAATAACAGCGCAGGGACATGATTGCTGAGGTACGTATTGATTGATGAATTAAACAGCCATGGAGATCAGGCACATGCTCCAGTGAAGTTCTTGGCGACACGCAAACAGTGATAAGACCAGGATAACAGATGGCAAGAAAATTGATAAGTTAGGACTGCATTAGTAACTTGAAATGCCAAAGATAGCTTGAGCTGAAGAGGCGATTAAAGTAATAAATAAGGGGAACTTGAACTTTGCAGGTACCCTGCCCATCCCCATACCCTACCAATTCAATATCAATTATCAATCAAACACAAGCGAACAAGAAGACTAGACACCACAAGAAGACTGGCGCAGAAAACTGGACATTAGTAGAGCAGACGTCACACGAAGGTTTTCCAACCGAGGAGAGGCACTGTAGGTTTTAGGGTAGGTTGTAGGGTAGGTTTGTAGGTTGTAGGTTTGTAGGTCAGTTGGGGTTAACTACGAGGAGCCAAACAAAAATTGGATCAGCCAATCAATGGCTGGAGTGGGCGGGGTGGTGACCATAATGGTCATAAAATCAGACTTCATCTTTTCAATGCATCCTAGCATTCAAATGAAAAAATAAGGCATAAGAATGTTCTTTAACCACACAAGGCCTACACCACTCGGTGCACAATTAACAGGCGGCTCTAAATCACAGGGTTACAACACAAGGTCAAACAGTGATAACTGATAGGCAAATATGGCGGATTGAAACAGACGTGCCAAAAAATGTAAGCAGTGCCGGTTAGGTTTGTTTAGGTTTTCCTAGAAAGAAGCACCCCCGGGTATGGCGCCTCTTCTTGGTTGGAAAACCTGCGTGTGACGTCTGCTCTACTAATACCGAACACTGAAACTTAGACAAGAGGCTGTTATTCAGCTTTTAACATAAAAAATCAGTCTAGGCCTAAATGCACAACTTAGCTGAGGAATTCAGCTTGTTGTGAATTGAAATGCAGCTGAGAAAAACAAATATTTAATAGGTACAGCGACACAGAATTAACACTAAAACAAAAACAAAGTATGCACATCCAGCACTAGGCTCTGCGACCAGGAGCCCATCTGTGGATCTTTTGCACATTGATTTCATCACAAAAGGCAGAAACCTATCATGCATGCACTAATAATCTACAATAATAGCCCTAAGCTTTTCAGTAACACAACAAACACCCCCACTCACACACCCCACGATTCTCAACTGACAACACACACAGATTGGTGAATGGTGATCAAAACCAAGGCTATATAAACCAGGTAGAACGCTCCCGACGAAAAAGTGGTGACAAGCGATAATTAGTAGCCGCGACCCTCTTTTGTTCAAAACTATATCCACAAGCAGCATTTACAGGCTAGCGGAAATCGACCAATCGGCGTTCGGCAATACTCAACGCTGATTGGCCCGATGCTCGTGACGAAATTGCGGGGGACTGCAGCTATTCCCCTATGGCGTTTAATAGACTTACGGCTTTTGAAGGGGATTTGTACCAGTTTTTGTTGGGTTTGAGGCCATTTTTGAGCTTGGATATTCTTTCTGTGACTTTTGACTGTGTAATAACGACATTTAATCATAACATTTCTATATACTACCGGTGTCACATCGACCAAAAAGACCGTAAGTACATGGGATAGACGGACCACTGCTGATGGGGCCACACATGCCGGCGTGTGGTCATCGGAGGCCCATGAGGGCTCGACATAGGCCCTTCATGGGTCGGTATAGGCCCGGTGGGTCCAGTGCAAGCCTATCAGGGGCCGGTGCTGACCCAACAGGGCCCAGTGACATATAATGTAAGGCCGTCTAGGGACGTTGAGGGCTCATGGGGGCCATATAGGACCAATAGGGACCACATAAGCCAATCAGGGGCCATTTAGGCCAATAAAGGCACTTCAAGGGACTTGAAAAGGTCATTCAAGAGCTGTGGTGGGCCCATGAGAGGACGGCACTGGTCCAGCAGGTGCAGTCAGGGGATGTTGTACGGGTTTCTCAGTGGCCCATTTGGGCATATCAGTGACCAATTTAGACCCAGCAGTGGGCTTTGTAGACCTATCAGGGGCTGGTGATGGTTCATCAGGGGCCAGCGTTAGTCCATCGGGGCACGGCATATGCCCATCAGAGGTAATTGCGAGCCCACGCTGAACAATGCTGGCCCTTCAACTACATGGATCTACATTGACCCATGGGCCATGATGTGTCATGTATGCCCCTATGACAGGCCTCTCAGACCCCTGATGGACGTTCCCGGCCTCTGATGACCCTATGCTGAATGCTGATGGGGCTCTAAGAGTCTCCAATAACCCTTCGTCACCCCATTATTACCATACGCTGGCATTAGGGACCCCACATCAGCCGCAGGGCAGTCCGTACCATGACAGCATGTCTTTTCGGCCGATATTTCATCGGTAATATTTATCAAAATCATGATTTTATGGTGCCATTATATAGGTAACAGTCATAAGAAATATATTTCAACTCGAAAACAGCTCGAAACAGCATATAATTTTAGAGAAACCCCTCCGAAATCCAAAAGCCTATTCGGGTCCATAGAGAATAACTGCGGTCCCCCGCAATTTCGTCACGAGCGTCGGACCAATCAGCGTCGAGTACCGCCGAGCGCTGATTGGTGAATTTTCCGCTAGCGTGTAAGTACTGCTCACGGAACAAGAGTTCGTCGACAATCCTCCACAAACGTCTGTCACCATTTTTCATAATGCTTAACAGCCGGAGCGTACCCCCCTGATCAAAACACACGACGCACCTAAATACTTTTGTAGACAGATTGGAGCGTAATAATGAGAAATATCAAACACTGGAGACATTTGCGCAAAAAGTCTCAGTTTGCAAGAGCCATTGAATAAATATAAAGATGCTAAGTTAAGTATGCATTAATTTCATAAGCAATGCAATGCTCTGGATTCTTATTGGAAAGTCAAAAAAAGAAAAACAGCTTTAAATTGCTAAGAATTTTGGCCGGCACATACATAACAAATTTTCACCCGGGATCCTGAGGGTCACCGGTCATACATGATATATGCTTCCAAAACGTACCTATCTTTCAAGACCCGGAAGCGATACATTGCAGTAAATTAAAGAATTGACACAAACTCGGTTTCCCCTCTTCTCTCAAGTCCGGTTGATCATGCCAAAGCAGTCATGAACGCCGTCAGCCGTGTGGCATTTAGTTTTTGAATAGTTGATCTAAAAAAAAAATAGCTGTAAACTCGCTAAGGCTGCTCTACATCTTATATTTGAAACTCAATTTGTAACGTTTTTTCGTTGAATCCTTCATATTGCTTGAATACGACTTTTCCCGTTGGTTACACTAAAAGTGGCGGCTTTTCTTGTCGAAATACGCAAATCGACTATCAGAAAAAAATGCATCCAATGGACGAAGAAAAGTGAAGGAAAAACAGCAGAAAATTCTGCGATATGGCAGCACAATAAAAATGGCTAAGTAGAACAAGCCACCAAAATATAAGCTAGGCACACTGGAAATGAAAGTTTCTGATTTCAGACCGATGAAATCGGAAACGAAATGATGCTCTAGTAGTAATTGAGTAGTAACACCCCTTACGTGGGGACACTTTCATAATTCATAGGCGGCGGAACGGGAAGGGCACCGGGGCACCGTGCCCCGCTTTGATTTCGGCATTTTAACATTAGCCCTATGGGCGTTGCATGGAAAGAATGGGACCAAAATGAAAAGTCGGCAGTGCCCCCCTCCCCTTAATTGAAGGCATTCCGCCGCTACTGGACACTTTAGTCTGTAACTCACGTTTGAGCCTTCCAATGCACAGTGGGGATTTTTCCGATCTAGCACGTATTTATTCGTAGAGGGCAAACCATAGGTAGAATTGTAGCCAGATTGTGCACAGATGTTGGCTGGTGTGTCCTGGTGAGAATTTTACCTGTAAATGTGCATAATCAACATAGTATAGGGGGTTCAATTGGACCCCCCGCTCAGCCGTTTGGCCCCTGATCAAGCTAGAGCTTCGCGGAAAAGTCAAGCGTGCTGCCTATGACGAAATTAGGCCGAATATATCCAATTTCAAAGTCCAAGGTCATAAGCTGACTTTCCAAGTCAGTTTAACCCGCGCCCCAGTGGCGGTCTCAGCCAACTTCGCCCTAGTGAGGGGGGGCATATGTTACCACCCACCTCTAACTCAAAAACTAAGAGGGCTAGAAAGACGCGGTAAAAAGCAGCCGATAGCTCTCAATGCGTAGGGGAGAGCGGGTAGAGTTGTATCATGTCCAAGTCGTATCAGGGCGAATTGTGCCAAACTTATCCAATGGATGGCGCTCGCGACACGACCAGCCGACGAGGTTTTCCGGGCGCCATCTTTCCCTGTTCTGTCTTGTGGCTGAGTGGACGCGTCTCGAGGTGAGAGCCGATTTTATGTTTTTTTAATGTCATTCTAAAAAAATAAGTTGTAAGAAAATGTGTGTTCTGGGCATTTAGATGTGAATGAATTTAAAAGATCTCCGTAGCGGTGGTGAGGGTAGGTTCTAAGGCTGCGTGAATGAAAACGGATTTCTCCAGCTGTCCGCTGTTTTTTTAGCACGAGGATGTTTTTTTCCAAGATGGCGGCTAGGTACATGTTGTATCAGAGCCGGGTGGGGTATGTTGTAACATGTATGTATGTATGTATGTATGGGTATGTTGCTTTTGATCGCGAAAGCTAATCCCTGGCTCGCGTTTGTAGGTAGCTAGTCAATGCTCGTTCCATTTCGCATGGGTGGAGAATGTTTGAAAAAGTTACCCCGGCCGGCGACCGATAGTCGCGGGAAGACGATATACTCACGTTGTTCTCAACGGTCATCATCAAACCCCTATTCTGACGCATGGAATAGGATGCTGTGTTTGCTCAAGGATGAGCGTTGTATCCGACACCGTATTATTCATAACATTTTTGGAATGATCGAAAAGGCAATTTCCTTTTAAATTATTATTTCTTTTTGCTTAAACTTGCAATTTCACACCGAACCCAAACCAAACCATATGCCATTTTGAGTACCTAAATGTTACGTTTTCAGCTTTTTATTGTGTCTCAAAATAGCTACAAAAAGACAACTTACCATAGTAGAAGCTTTACATGTCCATCAAGTTAGCGTCGTATTCGTATTCGTTTTCAGCGTCGAGTTCAAAACATCGCCAAACTATGCCAAACGATAGATCTTGACACGCTGATTCCAAAAATATCACTCATTTTTTCCTAGGTCAAATATTTTGACCTCTAGGGGCAAAAAACCTCTCTGGCTATAAACAACAATAAGGTACTTCTTTATTTACCGTCCGATCGGGCTGAAACTTACACAAAACATGTGCCGCCACACAGGGATGCGTCACAATCAACAAAATCGCCGATCGAGGTCAAAGGTCAAGGTCATATTTGCGAAAAACCGTTATTTTTCGACGGGGTACCAAATAAAAGCTTTATTTACCGTCCGATCGGGCTGAAACTTACACAAAACATGTGCCGCCACACAGGGATGCGTCACAACCAACAAAATCGCCGATCGAGGTCAAAGGTCAAGGTCATATTTGCGAAAAAACCGTTATTTTTCGACGGGGTACCAAATAAAAACTTTATTTACCGTCCGATCGGGCTGAAACTTACACAAAACATGTGCCGCCACACAGGGATGCGTCACAATCAACAAAATCGCCGATCGAGGTCAAAGGTCAAAAGGTCATATTTGCGAAAAACCGTTATTTTTCGACGGGGTACCAAATAAAAACTTTATTTACCGTCCGATCGGGCTGAAACTTACACAAAACATGTGCCGCCACACAAGGATGCGTCACAATCAACAAAATCGCCGATCGAGGTCAAAGGTCAAGGTCATATTTGCGAAAAACCGTTATTTTTCGACGGGGTACCAAATAAAAACTTTATTTACCGTCCGATCGGGCTGAAACTTACACAAAACATGTGCCGCCACACCGGGATGCGTCACAATCAACAAAATCGCCGATCGAGGTCAAAGGTCAAGGTCATATTTGCGAAAAACCGTTATTTTTCGACGGGGTACCAAATAAAAACTTTATTTACCGTCCGATCGGGCTGAAACTTACACAAAACATGTGCCGCCACACAAGGATGCGTCACAATCAACAAAACCGCCGATCGAGGTCAAAGGTCAAGGTCATATTTGCGAAAAACCGTTATTTTTCGACGGGGTACCAAATAAAAACTTTATTTACCGTCCGATCGGGCT